TTTCCTCGAGGAGTTCCAAAATCCCTAGATTCGGTAAACTCCTCCTGGGGACTGTAGATTTTGCTTTCAGTTTCTCCAATGGCTACCGAAAGCTTCACCGACAAAAACGCCGTTTTCAGGAAGCTGAAAGCCAAATCGGAGAATAAGGTTTGGATTTGATTTGTCTGTTAATGTTAGGTTTCTTCAGATCTGTGATTTGGTTTCTCCAAATCTTGTTTTGAATTGATCTGATTCGTTTTTATTGTGCCGTGTTTGTATCAGATGTGTTTTGATTGTAACGCGAGGAATCCAACTTGGGCATCGGTAACCTACGGGATATTTCTCTGTATTGATTGCTCTGCCACACATCGTAGCCTCGGTGTTCATATCAGCTTCGTTAGGTGATCTCCTTCTCCATGTAGTTGATGTTTGTATGGTGCACTTGTGCGATCGATTGGTAATCTGATTCTAGAATGAATTACGGCGGACGCAACTCAGATTTATCTTAAAAGTACAAAATTATCAGTTAATTTCAATTGAACTTTACTATATTCATAAGTTATCACTGGGCGCACCAGCTAGGTCTTGCGAATTTGAAATGAAGTTGCTAAATCATATCTCGAGTCTTTGAAACTCAACATTTGTAGGTTATTTGCCATCGGTCTGTTTGATTTTGTAGCAATTCTCATCATACATTGCCTTAGGTATGAGTGTTTGATTGCTCTGCTATAGAAATGATGAATAGATCCAGGATCTTAGTCATCTTACATAATTCTTATAGCAGGTTTTTAGCTTAATTGAATAGCATAAGGCTTCCACACTACTTTATTACGTTGCATAACCAATGAGTAATTTAGGACTTGTTAGTTTAGTGGGAAAACTCTCTTGAGAATTAGGGACTAAGAAAGCTGTGATCTTTTCCTTTGGCCATCCTATCTATTTTGGTTGACTTTTAACTGTCATCAGGAGGCTACTTTTTTTAAGCTGGATGATAATATTGGTTTGTTAAACTATTAACAAAACAAAAAACAAAACTTGCAAGGGGGTATTGTAGTTGGAAAAAGGTGTTGTCAATATTGTAAATCAGGAAAGATCTTCTACTTCTTACAATCAAAAGATCTCTAACTTGAAGTTTTACAGGTCAACGAATTTAGATTCATGGACACCAGATCAATTAAAGATGATGAGTTTTGGGGGCAACAATCGAGCTCAAGTGTTCTTCAAGCAACATGGTTGGACAGATGGAGGGAAAATTGAAGCCAAATACACCTCAAGAGCTGCTGAGTTATATAAACAATTACTTTCAAAAGAAGTTGCCAAAAGTCATGCAGAAGATGCTGCCAACAGCTTCCCATCATCACCTGTTGAAACTCTTGATAAACCTTCTACTGATTTCAAGCCCTTTGAAACCCTAAAAGAGAACCCTACACCTACACCTACACCTACACCTGCAACTGCACCAAAACCTGACACCAATGGCTCTGCTCCAGTGAAACCAGCTCCATCATCAATCCGTGCACCTTCTGTCAAGAAACCCATTGGTGGTGGTGCTAAAAAGACTGGAAAGACAGGGGGCCTAGGTGCAAGAAAGCTTAGCACCAAGGTAAAAAACTTATTAATAGAGTAATTTACAAATTTGGTCCCTGTGCTTTACTTAAAATCGCAGTTTTGGTCCAATTTTGAAATCTTTCCAAAGTTGTCGTTAAATCTGCACTTTGATGTGGATTCAATCAATGAAATGAAAATCTTGAAAGAAATAACATTGGGCCAAACTTGCAATTTTGAGTAAAGCACAGGGACCAAATCTGCAACAAAATGTGAACTTAGGGATGACTCTGGGAAGATTTCAACAAATGGACCAAACTTGTGACTTGTGAGGGATCAAATTTCTAATTTACCCTTGTGACTATTTTTTGTTTTTTAGAAGTTTATTAGTAAATTACAAATTAGTCCATGTGCTTTGCTCAAAATCACAAGTTTGGTCCATTTTTTAAATCTACCCGAAGTTTAAATCTGGTTGTGGATTTAGTTCCTCTGACAAGGAAATGCAAGTCCTAAAAGAAAGTAAATTACATTTTTGGTCCTTGAGTTTAACTACTTTTTGCATTTTTGGTCCACATTTGAGGTTCTTGTAATGTTTTTGTTTGTCCCAAGTAAACTGACTATTTTGGTCCCTGAGTATAACTGATTTTCGCAATTTTGGTCCCAAAAAAATGATACAACCTCAAATAAGGACCAAAGTTGCAATAGAAAACTTTTTTGGAACGAGAATCGCAAAAATCGGCTAAACACTCGATGACAAAAAATATAATTTAACTCTAAAAGAAATAACATTGGACCAAACTTATGATTTTGAGTAAAGCACAGGGACCAAGTTTGTAATTTTCTCTTAACAGTACTTTTGATTTTGGGATTTACTTTAGAGATGATGAATTTGATTGATGCAGACAAGTGAGAGCTTGTATGATCAGAAGCCAGAAGAGCCAGTTGTACAAGTGTCCTCCACGTCAGCAAGTAACAATGCATCGTCATCAGCTTTGAACATGACACCTCAGATTTCACGGTTTGAGTATGTGGACAGTAGTGAAGCTGTGGAGGCAGGCCCAGGTGGCACAAATAAGCTGAGTCATGTGGCGCCACCTAAGTCGTCCAGTTTCTTTGCTGAATACGGAATGGAGAGTGGCTTTTCGAAGAAAAGCAGCACCTCATCAAAAGTCCAGGTCAGCACGAATATTTAATTTTTTATTTACATATCAAAAGTCCAGGTCAGCAATAATATTTAATTTTGAATTTTGAATTATTATATAATAGATACAGGAAAGTGATGAAGCAAGGAAGAAATTCTCTAACGCCAAGTCTATTTCATCCGCACAATATTTTGGGGATCAAAACAGATCTGAAACTGATACTCAAGTCTCCCTACAAAAGTTTTCGGTATTCTTTTTTTATCTTTTAATCCATACTTTTCAAAATAACTTAATTTAAATATAAGTTATTATAATATAATATTAATTTTAATCGGTGTTTGTAGGGGTCCGCATCCATCTCAAGTGCTGATTTATTTGGTAATGACTCCGACAATTCTAACCTCGATCTCAGTGCTAGTGACCTCATCAACCGCCTCTCTTTCCAGGTATTTATTTTATTTAAAAACGAACAAATTGAATAAATGATTTTATTTATTTAATTATTTAATGATTATGATTATTATGATAATATCAGGCACAACAGGATATGTCATCGTTAAAGAACATTGCAGGAGAAACAGGAAAGAAGCTAAGCTCCATTGCCTCCACTTTCATGAACGATTTCCAAGACCGGATCCTCTGAGACTGAGATTGGAAGGAGGCGTGGTGTTAATTACAGAAATACCCCTGATAAATATAAATATAAAATATATTATGTAAAGGGTAAAATTTCTCTCCTATTCTATTTGAGTTTGGAGGGTCACCTTCCTTTTATAATCGTATTTTTGTAGCCGGAAATTCTTTTAAAAAATATTGTCATGTGTGTCTGCTATCGTTTTTTTTTTTTTTCGTGTTGTTTTTAAGATGTAGAGAGAGAGCTACATATGCAAAGTGTCGTTGGTTGGATTCAGTTTAAGTGAAGGACATTTATTCTTATATGAAAGTATGCAGGTGATGATGAAAACAGGAAATATATTTACATCCTTGAGAGTTGAAAGACTATTTTTATATTTCAAATTGTTGATGGCATTTGCATATTTTAATATTTTTATGTCTTATATAATAAATGTGTGTAGTCACTTTATTTTCTTCTTTACTTTATATCACCAACAAAAAAGTTTGATTATTTGTTAAATGTTTCAAGTCCCTTCATTTATTTATTGATGGTAGACTGATGCTCATCCTACATACAAGTATAAGATTTGATGTCTCACAAGTTAGAATTAAATTTTGTTAAAGATATCAAGAAACAAAGATTATTTTTTTATGAAGATGATAAAACACATGTACATCTAAACAAAAAACCTAGATTTTAAAACTTCAAATCAAATGTAAGACGCCCAAAAAACTTCAAAGCATGGTTGTCAAAATCGCAATCCTGATCGTAGGATCGTACGATCTTACGATCCTAGGTATAAAAAATAATCCTGATCGTAAAAGGATCGTATTTGGGGTAGGATCGCAGGTAGGATCGTAGGATCGAGATCCGATCCGATCCTACATTTGATTTTTTTTTTTTTTACCACTTTATGTCTTTTACCCTTTACCAATTTACCATTTATCATTTTGTATTGTGACTTATGGCTAGTATTTTGAAGTTTTTATAGCTTTTGAACGAAAATTGAATGTTTGAAATATTTTTCATAATTAAAAATTGTAATTAAAATTATATTTTATTTTGTGGGATCTTAGGATCCCGATCCCGATCTTGCAAACCCAAAAACGATCCTAGATAGGATCATGATCTTGACAACCTTGCTTCAAAGCAATAAAACTAACCCGAAAGTATAAAGCTTCAAAACGAACCGACTAAGATACTATGTGTACTGGATCCTTTTGAGGTCACACTTGTCAATCTTTTGTCAATTTCGATGCAAAAAATCAAGACAAATTTAGGCGAAAAGATTATTAAAATTTTGTAATAATAATAGAAAACATTTATTTTGTCTACCTTCTCTAGTCACAATAAAGTTAAAAATTGTATTTTTCGATGATAAATTTGAAGGTCGACGTACATTTAATTTAACTCTTCGAAAACCAAATGGCCAAGTGCTTACAATTGTCTTTTTATCATATAACCTAGATAAAAACAGCCTAATATCGGATTTTTCCCTTTACTAAGAACATTTCTTGTACATTTTCCTAAATTACTACATGGTTTGACCACTAAAACCTATGTTCTGATTACTAAAAACTAAGTTATCTTTCTTGCTCATGTCAAACTAATTGTTTTTATTTTGTTTTTAACATTTCCAATCAAAACAAAACTTACACTCTATAACCCCCACACTCACAACCTAAAATCATCTTTCTAGCCTTACCTCAATAATAAACATGATTGCCGCCATAAACATGCAATGGCAAAACCACATTCACCGCCACCCCCGTTCCCGTCGCCACCGCCACCGCCACCGCCTACAACCACCATCAAACAACCGGCCATGTCTAGGTCATGATTTCGGTCCAAAAGAGTCACAAGAACCATTTGAAAGGAAACATGTGGTCATAGTGATGGACGCAACCAAGGAGTTTTCGGTTGAGACCCTTAAGTGGGTCCTCAAGAATATTGGACTTCGCACTTGTTGTACAATTACTCTTCTTGGTGTAAAGCCATGGTTAACTTTTGCTTGTAAGTATTATGTTATTCCATATATAATGTTGATTTACTTTTCTCTTCTCATGTTGGTTGCGAGATTGATGTATTTTTTTTTAAAGTTATAGAATATTAAGGTTATCTGACAAATGTTGTGGTGGTTGTAGTTTCTTGCAAGACGGATACGGATATATGGACATTGAATATTGAAGATCTATTGAGTATGAAAGATACGGAAGAGTGGAAAAATGATGTGAGGTGTCAAAAGGCTCAACAACTAGTTGATCTTTGCATAGAATATGGGGTGAGCTTACCACTAGCTAGACTTTTTTTTTTTTTTCTTAATAATAATAAAATTATTAGTATTATTATTATTATTATTATTATTATTATTATTATTATTATTATTATTATTATTATTATTTAACTTAATTGACTTGATATGACGTGACTTAATTTGATAAGTTGTATATATGTTTTTCTTTTTGACTTAATTAAGAAAGAATGCCCGGATTTAGAGAGTTAAGAAAGTGATATGTTTTCTATAACTTTTTTACTAATTTACTATGATTTATCTCTCCCTTCCGTTTTTTTTTTACACAAGTGTAGTTATTTTCTCATTTTTTTCTTTATTTAAAACATAATTTATCGGGAAAAAACAAGTGTTAAAAGCATACTCTCACATTGAATATTTAGGTTGCGCCAAGGATAGAGATTCGACAAGGGTTCCCAAAACGGTTACTTGTTCTTGAAGAAATCACAAGCGCGTATGCAACATGGGTTGTTTTTGACAGGTACATGGAATCATTTTTTAAGATTTTCAGCACAATTTCTAACTTTTCTTATTTTATGCAACAAAGTTTCATTTTTTTCCTCATTTTATGCTACGAACTAGGCACCAATATTTCGTTTTAGAACCAAAAAATGCAACATATTACTAGCAACATATTTAATCGGTTGAAGCATTGTTGCATAATTCATGTTAGTTGCATAAATTAGTAAAAAAGTAAAATATTGTAGCATAAATTGATAAAAAGGTGAAACTTTGTTGCATAGACCATAAAAAATGAAACATTGCTTATTTAACAAGTTGAAGCATTGTTGCATAATTGGTGTGTTGCATAAATTAGTAAAAAAGTGAAACATTGTAGCATAAATTGGTAAAAAGATGAAACTTTGTTGCATAAACCGATAAAAAATGAAACATTGCTGCATAAATTGGTAAAAAAGTGATACATTGTTGCATAAACTAGTAAAAATACAAAATGTTGTAGCATAAATTGGTAGAAATGCGATACATTCATACATTGTTGCATAAACCAGTAAAAATGTGAAACATTGTTGTATAAATTGGTGAATAAGTGGAACATTGTTACATAAATTTGTAAAAGAAGTGAAGCATTGTTGCACAAACAAACATATTACAACATCATTAGGCAACCAATTTACGATTACAATGTTCCATATTTTGGCATTAAAACAAAACATGATCACATATTTCATCTAAAAAGCTACTTTATTACATAAAATAAAAAAAACATGAAACCTTTTTGCCATAATATCTACTAATACTTGTAGACATGATTCACTTACAGGCACCACAACAAGAAGCACATAGAATACATTATTGCAAAGAAAGTACCATGCAACATTCTTGTCATGAACAACAAAGGAGAAGCAGATATGATTAGAGGCCGATCAACAACTTTTGAAAGCAATGATGAAAGCCCTACATTCACTCCTTCCACAATACCAACCCCTACATTGATGCTCTCTGATGAATACAAGAAGATTCTAAACATCAAGAGCCCTTAAAAGATCTGCTATACTATGAACTTATACAAGTTTACAATACTGGTCTCTATTCTCTACCTACTAGAAGCCATTTACTTTAAGTTCAGATTTCACAAGACACAGGAAATAGACAAGGAAGGAGAATGTATCAATAAAAGGTTGTTAAGATTTAAGAGTTAAGACATTTATATCAAATTGTGGGGATTGTTGTATATTTACGTGTGTATTTGTATTGTAATGAATAAAGATATTTATTTGCAAGAGAAACAATACAACTGAAGAACTCATAAGTAGTAAAGAAAGTATGAAACTTATTGCACGAGTTAATTCATAAGATGTTTGATCATTGTGAGTTGAGATTTGAGACCACTTGCACTTTTACTTTGTAGCATGCGTAAGATATTGCTTGTTCTTGGGAGTTTGTTTAACTGATCATGTAAAAGATATAGACTTATAGGCTAAACATGTAACTGAGAGAAACCCTAAAATTTAGGTAATCAAATGTTACAATATTTGAGCGCTTGATAACTACCTTGATTCTAAAAGGTATCAAGCATACAGTTTTGTAATTTATAGAGATTCGATTATGAAATAAAAGTCATTCTGTTTGATACATAAATTCAATTCGTAGGCGTTGGTTCTCTTCAAATTTAATCGTCTAACAAAAACTGTTTTGACTGATCCATGTACAGAAAAACTTATTAAGAAATAAAGGAGGAAAGATTAGGGAATTACTTGTTTACAGAAAAAGGTAGAAAAACTCCAAATGAACTGGTCCGACGTTTTAAAAAAATGGTAGAAAAGTAATTACTTGTTTACCAAAGAAGAGATTGGCGACAGCGAAAATGGAGACGATTCTACCGAATAGTGTCGTCGGACCGGCAAGCAAACTTCATTTCCTGTATATCATCTCTTCTTCTCCCACCGTCTTTGTTTGCCAAGATGATTGGACTATGTTTTCCCCCAGATTTCCCAGATTGTTTTGTTTTTTCATAATCCGAAAAGTAATTATATCTTAGGACTTAGATTGGCTTTAGGGACTTTAGGCTATCATTTTGGATTGGTTTCGGAATTGAAATTTTGGAGTTTGAAAAAGATAATATTGGATATTTCAATACAAGTCTGAAATCCGATGAACAATTCAAAATTTTCGTTTTTTGTTTGTTATTCAAATCTAACAAGAACTTAAACAAACATGGTAAATATGAAATATATACGATACTTGTGAAGTTTTGACTTATTTGATCATCGAAATCTCAAATTTTAACTCGATTTAGCCACGAAAAATCTGATCACATTAATACTTTTAACTTGACCATTATTAATACAAATGTAACATCCCAAGATTTTGCAGGTTTTTCCGAACCCTCTTCTATCATTATATGGTCATTTGTAGTCCTTTGGGTTGGAAGTGTAGAGCCAAGCTAAGTATAAGGACCATGGTTGCAACCTTGGGTCAATAAGGAGTACGCTGCGCGTACATAAGAGTACACTAAGCGTACTAAGGTCCGCCTTAGTACACTGGGCGTACACTTGTGTACGCTGGGTGTACTTATATCATAATAAAACCCTAATATTTCGGGTTGGGGGCTATATAAACATCCCTATGGCTCATTTTCTCTCATCATTTCAGCCTCCATCTTACAGAAACATCCTACACCCTAATTTTGTGTGTGAGTGTGAGTTGGTGTGTGTTTTGAGCTCTTAAAGGCGAATTCATTGCATCAAGTAGTTGGAGAAGGAAGGCCAACTTGTAGATTTGAAGTTTTCTTGTACTTTAGGAACTCCAGAAGGTAAAAAGCTTATAGCTTGGCAACTATTTTGAGTAGATCTTGTATTATTTAGTTTCTTGGCATATTTCTTATCCCAAAAACCCCAATATGGTGCATGATGCATTTTGGTCATATTAAGCTGTCTTTCCAGACCCTAGAAAGGGTCCTAAGTGATAAAAATAAGGTCCCAATAGTTGAATGTGTCCCATGCATGGAATAAGAAGGTCTTAATGGGTTAAGACCAAGTATTAAGATATTTCTGGATGTCTAAAGTGTTAAAGTTCGTAGCTTTATGAGTCCTAGGTACCTTAGGTCATTGGATCTGAAGTTTGGGCTTAAGTGCTTAAGCCATTAAGCACTTATTAGGGTTTTGGCAAAACCCTGTGTATGCCTAGCGTAAATCTAGTACGCCCAGCATACTGGGTAAACCACCCCAATGGTGGTCAACGTCAGAACAAGTACGCCCCGCATACGAGAGGAGTACGCCCCACGTACCAGAGGAGTACGCCCCGCGTACGTCTTCTGTTGGGCCTTTTACATTTAGGCTTCAGGTTTTGGTCTATTTATGGACTAGTTGGATTTGGGCCTTTGCTGGACTTTATGAACATGATGTTTTGGGCCAAGATTTGATAATGTATCTTGGAATTAGGCCCAATTAGGAAGTTGGGCCCAATTTGGTAAATTGGGCCAATAATGGGCTTTGCATAAAGACTTTCAAGATTATGGATTTAGCATTGGGCCTTGGGCCAATATAGAAAAAGGACATGATGGATCGTGTGGACTGTAGTCAAGACTGTTATTTTTTGTATTGACTTGGTATTTATTATGTAATAGATCGGGATTTTCGGTGAGATATCAAATAGAAATTTACAGTACTTGGTCACTACTTGCGAGGTGAGTTATCCTTACTATACTCAAGGATCTAAGGCACCAAGGCCGACCCTTTGGATTGTTATCTGGATATGTTATGCTAGTATGATCTGTTAGATCGGTATACTGGTAGATAGGATGGTATTATGTGTTATGTGATATGATCATTTAGACCGGTTTGTTTGTCTATAGATTGTTATGTGATTATCTGTTATATGTGCACATGTTTGTTTGCCGGTTGATGTCACACCGCAAAACCAAGAACGGCAGAAACGTTCTGGGCACAATGTAATAGCAAACAAGTAAACAACATCATCCATTGCATTAAATATATAATTTTAATACAAGTGTGTTCTGTAGTATATAAGACACCAAAATATGAATCAAAATATAAGATGAGTCTTGTATGCGCTCCATCTTCTCAAAAGCTGGCATCGGTACCTGTCTACTGATGACCTGAGAATACAAGTTATTTTGAAAGAGTTTATCAGCATTAAAGCTGGTGAGTTCATAAGTATTTAGTGTCTATGTTTTGTATCAAATGTTTGAAACAGTGTTTGAAGTACGAGTTTGTAAATGTGTGTAGTAAAAGTATGTGAATGTTTGTAAAAGTTTGTATCTCCTAGAAAATCCTATACTTTCTACTAAAAGTAGCCTTCTACCAAGGCACAACTGTTTTTTATGTTTGTTTCTTGTAAAGGTGTGTAATTTTCCCAAGTGTAACTATCATTATCAAAATATAGTTTGTACATTAATGTTTAAGTGAAATGATCACCAAATAAATGTAAAGGGTAAATTAATGTAGTACTGTAGTTTTGTATTATAGGAACTACTGCTGTACTAACTACCTTAAACCGGATTTATATCAAGGTATTATGTGATTAATTGTACCATACTATCGACTGGGAAACACGACAATGTAAGTCGTCAAAAGGTATGACATTTGGCACCCGAAGACTTGCCGGTCCCACTGTAGCTAGCAGTAAGGTGTAGGATAGTCAATCCAGTATAGATCTATACGCAAACTTATGTTCTCCCTCCAAGAGATTCTGGTTACAACTCGGGCCATGACAATGAAGGCATGCTCCGATACAGTGGATCACATTTATGTTATCGTATACTTGTATATGTAATGTATGTACTTGTGTAATGAATGTATTGTTTCTCATCATAGTATAGCTGTATATGTTCTCATCATAGTATAGTTGTATATGCTCTCATCCTAGTATAGTTGTATATGTTCTCATCCTGGTATAGTTGTATATGTTCTCATAGTAATAAGTAATGACTCATGAATGAACTGAATCTTGTATGCTTCATTGGACTAGAAGTAGTAAGTAGTACAACCCTAAACTATACCTATTCTAGTTTATTAGGAGACTTGTTTGTATGACTGAATGCACTGAATTGTGATAAAAGTCTTTATATCTATACATATATACATAATATATAACTAAGGATTCAATGACACTCGGAAAAACAACCGGGTACTTTAAGACCACAACCAAACAAGGACAGGAAGTAAAGTGGGTTATCTCTCCTAAGTCCTTCAAACCTTATTTATATAACTGTATATGTAGTAGACATGGTTTTAACAATATACAAGTTTGAAAACTATAAAAGAAAGGTTTAGTATACAAAAGTGAATTTGATAAAGAGTTTAACATGTAAAATAGTTTGATAAACAATTTGAAATCATTTGTTTGGTAAAACAGTTTAAAGTATGAAAAATTCATGAGTATGCTAGTTATTAATCACATGTGATTGATCTAATGACTAACATGGTTCAACTTGTATGTCCCCCATAAAAGCATTTTAAAAACATTTAAAAACATTTCAAAGGTTGATTAAGGGGTATGAACTCACCTGTAGTGAGTGGTTTGTACGAAAGTGTCGGACAAGGTGCTAGGTGTCAAGTGAAGACTTGAACACACATAATGATCCTAGTTAATGTATAATAAGCATATATGTATCTAATTAGTTAATTAAGAAATAATTAATCAAGTTAAGACACCCTAGGACATGGAAACACTTTGATTCAAGTGCGATAGGTACCAAAGGGTTGCATCTAAGGGTTGTATGGCATGCCATTGGAGTTTATGGCCCAAGGACCACTCCTTATGGAGTTTATGGCCCAAGGACCACTCCTTATGGAGTTTATGGCCCATGACCATTTCCCCATGAGTTTATGGCTGTAAAATCAAGGTACTAAGTGCCATATTGTGTTTTGAGGTCTTATAATTCATGATTGCGCATCCAATGATCAAGTCCAAGCCTTAAGAAAGCATTAGGGGCACAATAAGACTACCTTGTAGAGTTTACGACCAAAGGACCATATCCTTATGTGTTTACGGTCGTACACTATTATGGGGACTTCTTTTGATTGTTGTTTAAGGTCTTAAACACATCTAGGAAGGATCAAGGTTGGCATCCAAGCCTTAGGAAGGGATTAGGGTCCATTTAACCAACTTAAGAAAGGTTTACGACCCAAGAACATCCTTGGCCGTAAACTCCTTTGTTCTTATGATTCTTGATGATTTTCAAGTGTTATCAAGTTCATATTAAGCACACAAGAAGCTAGGGTAAGTGTACTTATAAGATAAAAGCTTGATTTGGTGTTTAAGGTCCAAGAACACTAGTGTGTGTTCTTGGTGTTTTGAAGAACACTTGAAGATCTA